CGCAGAATTTTTTTCTTTCCTCCTCCTAATTCTTCCTATTCCAAAACTGGAAAATCGCTGAGTGATTTTCAGAAGTCAGAGGATCATGGCCGTGTGCGACCCCCCCCCCCAATGTCATATGACCTTGAAGTCAGAGGGCGAGAATCAGTTGCATCCTTCCAGAACTTGCTGAGGTTAAGTTTAAAAATTCCAAGCCATTGAGGTAATGAAATATGAAACAAAAAAAAAAAAAAAAAAAGAGGAAAAAGTAAATTGACATTGCCTGTGTCCGTAGAGTAGACTCGGAAACTCTTATCCCAGAAGCCGCACACGAGGATGTAGCGGTTGTCCGAAGTGATGACAAAGCACTGCGAATGGACTTGAATACTCTGGTCTAGAAGGTCGGTGATTTGCCTCCTGTGCGTTCCCGTATTGCTGGCTGTGGGAAGAGAGGAAGAAAAAACCCTACAAAATCTGCGTGGGCAAAGTCATCCTATAGTTTGTCATATTGAGGGTAAAAGAGGAAAGGGGACACATTCCAAAATAAGAATACTTTGCATGTTTTAGTTGCTATAGGGTACACATGTTTGCTGGAGAGAGACAGAGAGAAAGGACTCAAACACACCTCCGCCTGGGTGGGGTTGGGGGGACCGGCCACGCTGCAACCTCTTCTCCTCCATTCTCTCAAGATTGTGGGCACACATGCACTCATGCCCAGTGTGTTTTTCCAGCCACTGGATGCAAGATTTGAACTGTGTAGTTGGCCACGTGGGATCTAGCCACCTCAATCACCATGCTACCGGCTAGCCCAAGAGTACTTGCACTTTCATTTTCATCATAATCATATGTGCTATAGGGCGTGTGCACTCGCCAGACAGACAGAGAGAGACAGAGAGACAGAAAGCGAGAAATCACCCCCCAGGGGGGATGGCCACACCGCAATCCCTTCTCCTTCATTCTCCTCTCGGGATCTTGGGCATGCACGCACACGCGCCTGGCGTGAGTTTAAGCTGCCGGGTCCAGGACTTGAACCGTGGTTGACTACGTGGGAGTCCAGCGACATAGCTATTACGCTAACTGCTGGTCCCAGCATAATCATATGTGAAAACACAAATAAGACATAGTCTGCTGCTGGAAGAAGGTGGGTAACTAAATTCAACATCTCAGTGAAAAACAGTTGCTTGGAGGAAAGAAATACGAACACACTATAATTTCAAGACAGTATGCAATGCGCAGAACACGCTTCCTAGCTCTCAGGCAGGGCCAAACGAGATTACAACCTGCAGCCGGCCTCGCAGTGAGGTTTGTGTTTGCTGACAATCTCATTACATCTATTGTCATGAGAATGGATTCATGTTGTGACAATCTATTACCTTTAACGTTTTGTCACTGGGAAGAGATATTAGGATTTAAATGTCATATATGTGAAATATTGTAACATCTTGTACTACTTTGACTTGAACGGCTCTTTAATTTGACTGGATGGGAACTCCCTCTTCCCCAGTTACAGCTGCACTTGTGTGCACAGAAAGGGTGGGGCGACAATTTATTAAAGATGCTTGTAATTGGAAAAGTCAAAACACAGCAGACTGCCACGGTCTCGCTCCTTACTTAAGGAATAAAACAAGACAGCCTGGCAGTACGCTTTCCAAGCGCTCCCGAGCACCTGAGATGGGGTTTGTCACAAGACAGGAGGTCGGACACAGCGACACCAAGCACGCGGGAAGAGTAATAATCCTCTAGAAATACAATATCGAACGTGCCATTATCGGAAAAGTCATTTTCACGGACATGCCTTTTTTGGACATTATGAGGTCAACCAAATAGAAAGCTTTGTTTCTAGTGATCTAAGGGTTATTTTATGTTGACTTTCTGATCCAAATAATGTTTCTTATGCTGCTATAGGAAGCTTGATTGTAGCAGAAATGAATAGAGCAAACAACACATTTCTATATCTGATGATTACGTTCTCTTCATTGAAAACCATGGTCTTCCATTTGGAGGAGAGGGGGGAATGATCAATACCTTGTTGATAAAAATATGTGGTGGAGAAAAACTTTAAATGGAAAAATGCCTATATTATATTCATCGTATATAATAGCTAAGTTAATGAGGGTAGTTTAATAAAAGGCTTAGAAACTGAAACAGAAGGAAGAAAGTGTTCGAGATACCCCTCATGGGTGTGCTGGGAGTCAGTGGAGACACAGGACTGAAGTGTCCCCTGCCCTCATGGTGCGCATGGCACAGTGAGCATGCACATATGCATGGGAACACTGCAAAAGGCTGCCAGTGGCTGCTGACACGACCTAACCATTTAAGAACAATAAATAACTACGGGCCAGCAGGTGGGATGGGGGTTAAGGCACTGGATTCCCACATGGCTGACTATGGTTCGAGTCCTGGACCTAGTGGCTTGAAAATCATGATGGGTACATGTGTACATGAGCCCAAAATTCTGAGAGGAGAATGGAGGAGTAGGGATTGGGGCGTGGCCATCCCCCTGGGGGTGATTTCTCACTTTCTGTTTCTGTCTCTCTCCAGTGAGCACACATAGCTTATGGCAAAACAAACAAAGAATATTACGTACCTGCTGGATAATGTAGGCTTCCTATGCTTTGGGAGTAGTAATAGGCTAGAAATCAATAGCAGTAGTAAAAGAGGATGGAATTCTCGGATAGTTCAGAATTATTTTCCCTTCTCCTTCCACACACAGGACGGTGCCGGAAGAGGAGAGAAGCTCTCGTGGACATCACAGTGTTTCAGAGAGGCAGTGCCCCATGGCGGTGACGCTGTGTGATATAACTTTTGTTTTCTTTTAAATTCTAAGAAATCTAGCAATTAAAACAAAGCATGGGAGACTTCCTACACTGGTTACCGCAGTACTGCCTTCCACGTGAGAACTTCAGCAATGCTCATGTTTGCCAGTGGGTATGTGACGGTTACTCCTATGATGGAAATTCCTTCTCTGGTCATTTCATGGGGTGATCTCTTGGAAGGACCTCCTAAGCAGATCTGGAGGTGTGCCTGCTTTTGAGCCGAGTGACCACAGAGTTCCTGTGGATAATGCCTGATGCCCCTTCAGCCTTCAGATGGACTCTGTTCCAAGCAAGTCCTCCTCTGTCACTGAGCACTGCAAAGTCCCTTCTTCCTATCCCCTTCTATCCCTCACCACAGGCTTTCCATGATCTCGTTTTCTCTAGTTAGACTCTTGAGACTCAGGACTGAAAGTATTTTTATTCGATGAAAATTAGGCATATTTGTCTAGATAAGCAGTCTTCAAACTGGGGCATGCATGCCCCTGAGGGTAAAAGCTGTCCCAAGGGATATGGAGGCACAGATGGTTTTAAGGGGATCCATTTCTAGTTCTTCAACTTTCATATATTCTTTTGCCTGACACCGATTTGCCTGAGAACTCTCCCGTGAGTTTTCCTTTCTTACCTCCCCTTTTCCCGTACCCCTCTGACACTACATGGAAAAAAGGCTTATTCCCACCCATGAAGCATCTTACTATAGTGCTTTACCACAGGGGATAGAAATCTCCTGAAGCCAAATGAAGGGACAGTTGAAAATGCTGATGTGATGAATACAGTGCCTAGGTATCAGACCATCTGCAGGCTGGGTGGCCTCCAATTCACAGCTTTCAACACAATGAGATGAAGATCTAATCGTGCAGTCAGTGGACAGATCATTGAAAATAAGTTTCAAGGACAGACTGTTCAAATGATCGATAATTTGGGGGACCAGCAGGTGGCATGGTGGTTAAGGCGCTGGATAGTCCCACATGGCTGACCATGGTTCAAGTCCTGGACCTGGTGGCTTGCTTTCTAACTTTCTCTCTCTCTCTCTCTCTCTTTGTGTGTACTCTGGACCTGGTGGCTTGCTTTCTCGCTTTCTCTCTCTGTGTGTGTGTGTGTGTGTGTGAGTGTCTGTGTGTGCGTCCTGGACCTGGTGGCTTGCGTGCTCACTCTCTCTCTCTCTCTCTCTCTCTCTCTCTCTCTCTCTCTCTCTCTCTCTCTCTCTCTCTCTCTCTCTCTCTCTCTTTCTCTCTGTATGTCTCTCTCTGGACAAAATAAAATAAGTGAATGAATAAATAAACCTTTTAAAAATTATCGATAATTTAATAATAGACATAAAAATAATTCTTAGTAATAGAGCACTATACTATATGAACATTGCCATGTAACTCAGAAATAGTTCAACGACTTGAGTGACATTGTAGACATCTTTAACATCTGTGTGACATCTTTCCTTTCCTGTCTGTTTTGTTATGGGAGTAACCTTCCTTAGAGCCTCCACACACTGTAAGCATGCTTTGAAAATCAGATCGCATCTTGCAAAGATTTACAACTATTATGTGTAAATTACAAAATTATTATCTATGGGTTACAATCTTTTTAAAAGCAGAGCTATATGGTCATAGGAACATCTGAAATCTAAATTTACATACAGATGTTTAATTTTGCTGATATATTTTTAGTGCTGAAAAGTATAATGGTAATCACTCTTTTTGTTGTTTGCTTTTTTACGTTTTTGCCATAGGGCACTTGCACTCCCTAGAGAGAGACTAAGAGAGGGAAAGTGAGAAATCACCTCCTAGGGGGGATGGCCATGCCATGTCGCTTCTCCTCCATCCTCATGTCAGGATTTTGGGCACGTAAGCACATGCACCAGTGTGATATTCAACCGTGGTCAGCCATGTGGGAGTCTAGCACAGGACCTTAACCACCATGCCACCTGCTGGTCCCAGTAATCACTTCTTAAAAGTTAAGATATCGGGACCAGCAGCAGTTTGTGTAATGATTATGCTGCTGGACCTCCAAGTAGTTAACGGTGACACGAGTCCTAGACCCGGTGGCTTAAAACTCTCGCCAGGTGCATGTGCGTGCGTGCCCAGGATCCCGAGAGGAAAATGGAGGGGAAGGTATTACAGTGTGGCCATTCCCCTGGGGGATGATTTCTCGCTTTCTGTCTCTCTGGCGAGTGCATGTACCTTATAGCAAAAAGCTGTCTTTTAAAAAAATAGTTAAGATATTATGTGGGGGAAGTAGACTGAAAATATAGATACAAGATAAACAATAAATCTTGCGAAACTGTTAAGGGCTTTTAGTAAAATTTTTTAAAACAGAAAATGTTGTGTGTCAATTTCCACTGATATACAGATGCCATTGGATGTATAAAAATTGTTTTTATACTATGTCAGAAATTATTGCCTTTGAAGGGGTTGGTAGGTGGTGTGGTGGCTTAGGGCACTGGATTCCCACATGCCTGACCATAGTTTGAGTCCCAGACCTGGAGGCTTGTTTTCTCACTTTCCCTCTCTCTCTCTCTTTCTCTTGCTCTGTCCCTCTCTGGTCAAATTAAAGTAAATAAATAAATTGATAAAATTAAATAATTCTTTAGGGGCCGGCAGGTGGCATGGCGGATAAAGGTGTTGGACTCCCACATGGGCTGACCACGGTTCGAGTCCTAGAACTGGTCGCTTGCTTTCTTGCTTTCCCTTTCTCTCTTTCACTGTCTCCGTCTGGTCAAATTATAGAAATAATAATAACAGGGACCAGCAGTTGGCATAATGGCTATGTCGCTGACTCCCATGTAGTCTCGGACTTGGTGGCATAAACTCAATGCTGGGCACATGTGCGTACATGCCCAAGTCCCGAGAGGAGAATGGAGGAGAAGGGATTGTGGAGTGGCTATCCCCCCGGGGGGGGGGATGTTTTGCTTTCTGTCTCTCTGTCTCTCTGTCTCTCTCTGTCTTTCTGTGAGCGCACACGCCCTATAGCAAAAAATCTCTCAAAAAAAATAATAACAGTAACAAATGGAATTCAGTAAATAAATAATTCTTTTTTTTTTTAAATGATTATCTTTGCAACTCTGTAACATTATAATGAAGACTTTTAGATGTCACCTTAAAGATGTATGAGCAGGGGCCAGTCAGTGGTGTGTGGTTAAGATGGCAGGATCCCACAGGCTGACCGAGGTTAGAGTCTGGACTCACTGGCCTGAAGCGTTTGGGGCCTGGGCGCCTGACCACATTCCCAACAGGAGGGAGAAATGGAGGAAGAGAAGGAGTTGTGGTGGGAACACGTCTCGTGGGGTGTGCTTTCACTCTCTCTCTCCCCTCCACCCCCATGAGCATATGTACCTTTGGGCAAATTAAAAGAAAAAAAAAAAAAAAGGTAAGAGCAGATACAAGTTTTTATTTTCCTTTTTGGAGAGATTTTTAGCCATAGGATACCTGCGCTTGCCAGAGAGGCAGAAAGACAGAAAGCAAGAAATCTTTCTGGCTGCGATCCCCCCAGGAGTGGATAGCCATGCTGCAATCCCTTCTCCCTTCACCTCCTGAGATCTTGGGCACACATGCGCATGTGCCCAGCATGAGTTTCAAGTCAGTGGGTCGGGCACTTGAACCACACTAGGCAATGTGGGAGTCCAGAGACATAACCGCTACGCCATCTGCTGGCCCCCAAAGGTACATGGTGTTAAACATTTATTTTAGTGGGTGGAAGAGCAAGAGTCTGATGACCAGCAATGGAGAGCAGGGAATGCAAATGATGGCTGCAGGCCAAGTCCAGTTCTTTAGGTACAGGTTGTGTAAATAAAGTTTTATTGGGACACGGCCAAGTGCATTTGTTCAGATCGTCTGGGTGGCTTCCGTGCTATGACGGTAAAGTAGTTGTGTCTGAGTTTTTCTGGCCCAGAAAACCTAAAATGTTTTACTACCTGGCCCTCTACTGAAAAAATGTCCCTGTGCTTAGTCGCAAAGATTACAAGGGCTGAATTCTTCAAGTAGCCTTTCCACTGTAAGATCGCCATTGTCAAGGTTTAAAGGAAACAATAGGTTTACGATTCAGGAGGAACCCTTCCAATGACTTAGCAAATGGTCTTTATTATTTTCCTGACTTTTAAAACTACCCAAATGAGCAGTTTACAATTTTTTTTGAGAGTTTTTTTGCTATAGGGCGCGTGCGCTCGCCCCAAAGAGAGAGACAGAGAGACAGAAAGCGAGAAATCACGCCCCCCCCCCAGGGGGGATGGCCATGTCGCAATCACTTCTCCTCCATTTTCCTCTTGGGATCTTGGGCACGCACACACACGCACCCGGTGTAAGTTTAAACCACTGGGTCCGAGACTCGAACCGCAGTTGACTACATGGAAGTCCAGCGACATAGCCATTACGCTAACTGCTGGTCCCCATTTTTTAAAATATCTGACAAATCGTATGTTCTCAAAGCAAGATAAGGTTTAGGGGCCGGCGTAGTTTTTATCCTACATACAGATAATTACTTCTTAGATCTCTGCTTATATCTGGGGAACCGATAGCTGAATTGATTTGGAGCTTAAGGTTATTTTTGTTCCTCCTGAGAGACCACCAGCAAGTAGTAGCCATGTAGCTGTCCACGGGAATAATTGTTTTAAAAACAAAAAGCGTTGGATGCCCCATCGAGAACATTTGGATCTAAACATAATGCATCTGCCCGTTCACACGCTTTCTTTCGAAACTTTAAAATGAACAGATTTACTTGTGCTACGGAAATTCAATGAAATTTACAAGCCAAACACCCAGCAGGTAAATGCCTGCAGCCAGGCTCTTAGGGTTTCCCATTCTATACGTTATTGAAGAGCCTCTTCGACCTCAAGTCTTAACCTTCTCGGTGATGGCCCATCTGAAATCCCCACGCATAGGATGACAAATGCCAAACCCAAAAAGCATCACGGCAATTAAATATTCCAAGTCCCCAGGTGTGCTCATTTCACCCCAGTGGCACTCACTCACTGGTCCCCTTCCTACTTTTACCCCCCTGAACAAATTTAACCTCAGTGGCAATTTATAGGACCCCAGGAAAATGAATACAAATATCTTAACACGACCAGTGGCTGGGCAATCTATTGCGACTTGGAAACTGCTCTGCAATGGCACATTAATCCCCTCAGAGTGAACGGAGGGTCCGGGAAGAAAGGATTGATCTCCTTTAATGATGAAACCCTGGCACGACCGTTTTATTTTTCAAACACGGGGCTGCTAAGAACCCCACTGTTATTATGAAAATCTCCCTAGCAAAGGAGCCCCGTCGCATTACCGGCGCGCCAATTCATCATAACGTGCCTCGCTCCTGCTCATCAACAAGTCTGAGTGATGAAAAGATCCAATATTACCCTGACAGTACTTCACGCGCATTCTCAATCACACATTATTACAGCATCCATATTAATTTTCGGTGACACGCGTCCTAGGCCTGTTCAAATTAGGCAAACCAACGAGGGGGAGTTGATGAAATACCAGCATAGCCACAGCTCATTGCATTCCAATTTGCATGCAAATGGTTTATCAGGAAAATTCCATTCCCAGCAACCAGCAAGTGAAAAACAACTGTAATCTGCACTTCAGGGCCACCATACAGAGCTTAATGAATCGCAAAGAGAGAAGGAAGTGACAGACCTATGAGAGGATCGATTTCCACTGGCAGCTGGTATGGCTGGTCTTGCACAGCACCTTGATGAGCTAGAAGGCACATAAGAAAAAAAAAAAAAAAAGGCGTTATTTTTCATATAGAAACTCCATCCAAATGCGCAAGTCAAACCTTCTGGAGAATTGTCTCCAACCTCCCGATGCTCTCGCACCGTTTGGTGAAATTTAAAGAAGGGAAATCCAGGTGCTTTTATGGGTAGCTTATTAAACATTTATTTTAGATTAGCGCTGCTCTGAACATGTGCCATCCGCAGAGGCTCCAGTCCTGGGCCATAAGCTATAGCAGATGCTTGACTGGCAACCTCAGAGGCTGCAGCAAAACAAAATTAAGTGGTGAAGCGTGCTGAAGACAAAATGTGACAACCATCTGCTGACTGTAGCAAATACTATTTTTTCGTTACTTCTTAAAAAGGCAGTTTTGAATGCGGCAGCACAAAGGAGCCACCAAATGTCAATTTATGATGGAGGAAGGGAAAGCTCTCAGTCAGGGGACATTTAATGTTTCATCCATCACCTGAAATCAATCAATTTCAAGTTTGAATAAAAATAAAGCAAGCTATCCGCAGATAAATGCTTGAGTTAAATGCGTTTGGCTGAGATATTTTCTTAAAGATTGAATGGAGGGTTTTAAGAAAAGTGGATTAATATTTAATATTTTCAGAGTTTCCATTTAAAACTACTCGGAGAAGCCCGCAAGGACCAAAAATCAATCTATACTAAGAAGAGTCTATTCAATTCTCAAAATGGTTTTAAAGATTCAGGTGCACTCATGTTGTAACTGCAGAGAGAGAGAGTTTGCAGGCTGCTGCCCTGTGAGAGGAGGACTCAGGTGGAGGACTGGGTTGGGATCAGGGGCTGCCGCTGGGCAACTTGGGCAAATCTTAAACCCTAAGAAGAAGGGTTTGGAATAGACGATCTCTCTCTCTCTCTCTCTCTCTCTCTTTTTTTTTTTTGGAGAGGTTTTCGCTCGCCAGGCAGACAGAGAGCGACATAGAGACAGAAAGCGAGAAATCACCCCCCAGAGGGGATGGTCACACCGTAATCCCTTCTCCTCCATTCTCCTCTCAGGATCTTGGGCATGCATGCACATGCGCCCGGCGTGAGTTTTAAGTCACCGAGTCTGGGACATGAACCATGGTCGACTATGTGGGAGTTCAGCGACACAGCCATTACTCTAACTGCTGGTTCCCAGGAATAGACGATCTCTTCAACTTCACAGTTTTGGCAGTTAAATCCTGGACCCCTTTCCAAACTATTTTCCCCAAATGACTCAGCTTTTCACCCTGGACAGTATCCACCTCTGACAGGCTCATGAGCACTTATAGTCCTGCTTAGTCAGCATTAGAGCTTGCTTAATTGCATCGGATTTTAGGAAATCTTTCTGTCCTTTGAGGGGCTGAAAATAAAAATGGGGTAAATTTCAATGAGTTCACTACGTTATTTTAAAACTCACTGCATCATCATTTCCTCGGTTGGTAAATATGAACTATTTAAGGATATTTAGACAATCTTGAACACTGATGAAATACCCATGCATACATAATATTGGCACTAAAAATTATAGTTGAATGTGTGTAAGAAACTAAATTATCTAAAGAAGGGACGCCAGGATGACATTCCTTTGTTTACTGAAGGTATCTGTTTTTGCTAGTAAATACATTGCAGGATGGGGTCAAGATGGTGGTGCAACAGTAAAACCCAACACTCTGCAGACAATCCCACATAGAAAGGTTCCTGGTTCAAGCCCAGAGACCTCTATTGGTATGCCAGGTGCATGCTTGCCCCTGATCCAGGGCTGGCCCCTGATGTAGGGTGTTGTCTTTCCTTATCTCTGTCTCCTTCTATCTCACTTGTGAGATGAATGAATGCAGGCATGCATGGATGAATAAATCAATAAAAATTAAAAAAAGAAGAAGTAGCAAAACTTAAAGGAACCACAGGGTAGTTATAAGAAATGATCAGAGGAAATCGTAGTCTCTGGTCTACCCAGCGGTGTACTTCCAGCACTGCCAGTGTCAACCACACTAACACCTTCGGACAGACATTCCTCTGCTTCGCTGAGAACTTGGGATCATAGAGACATTAAAACCAAACTTCCAGCGAATGAGGTTAAGGAGGTACAGTCATGCCTCAAAAGCTAGTTCCGCCACTGCCTGTGTAACCTTGGGCTCACTGCAGAGACTCTGTTCCAACTGCCTGATCAGCAAAACGGGTTGGATGGGCTAGGCTGAGCCACATGAAGTCGCCAGTTTCTGACCATTCTGACCTACAAAAAAAGGCACTTTCGTGGAGTTCAACCTAAATATAGACCCTCCAGCCTCAAGTCATTGAGGGGGTTGAGTAAGTGCATGGAAAATGACTTAAACGGTACTTAGAAAATGCTCCATAAACATTAGCTACTGCTCCTTGATGTTCTTGGAGGTCCTTCAAGATCTCTGAATGAGAAGGGAGGAGGAGGATGATTTCTTTCCTACATGAGAATCCGGATGGTACTCAGTACTCCCAGAAATGACCGGAGCTAGCTATCTAATGAATGAGCTATAGAAACCAGAGATGGGGGGGGGGTGAACGAGTCAATAAAAACAGAAGAGGGGGGGGGGAGGACACAGTCTATAAAAGAAAAATCAACATAATGAAATCTAATACATACTAAAGAAAAACTGTCAGGGTTTGTTTGTTTATTTATACCTACTAGGGAGTACGTGCGCTCATAGGGTAGAGGTGAGGAGAGAGAGGGAGAAATCCCCGCCTTCCCCCCAGGGGGCATGATCATGCCACAAGCCTCTCTCCTCCATTTCTCCCTCCAGTTGGGGGTTTGGGCACGCATTTGGCATGTTTTTCAAGCCACCACGGCCAAGATTTGAACTACGTGTGGGACCATGTGGGATCTAGCTTCTAGCTTCTTTAACCACCTGGAACTGGGCTGGTCCTGACGTTTGGTTTAAATCAAGGCATACTGACCGGCAGAGATGGCGTAAGACAACACAAAGGGTCAGATTCATGTACACATACCTGAAATGAGGTATGGATTGACTAGAATGGATTCTTAATCTTTCCCGATGTTGGTACAACTCAGAATTGGAGATCACATTCGGGGACCAGCAGATGGTGTAATGGTTACATCACTAGACTCCATGTAGTCAACCATGGTTTGAATCCTGGATCCGATGGCTTAAAACTGACTCTGAGCGTGTGTGTGTGGGTGTGCACGCGTGTGCGCGCATGTGCCCAAAATCCCAAGAGAATGGAGAAGGGACTGCTGTGTGGCCATCCCCTCTGAGGGGGGTGATTTCTCACATTCTGTCTGTCTCTCCAGTGAGCACACGTACCCTATAGCAAAAATCTCTCAAAACAACAGCAACAACAAAGAATTGGAGGTCACATTCTATTAGCAGAAAGATAATCACCAGTGGGGTATTGCCACGTTATCACTCTCTGTTTATCTGGTGAAAAATGCTCTTGTAAAGGGTGAATATGGCTAATAATACACAAAAGGCTCACAGAGAAGAACTGCTGGCCGAGCAGCTGTGGACCTATGCAGTTCCACCTGCTCTTACCTTCCAGGAAGATGAGCCTGGGCTGGAGACAGTGGGATGCACTATGGACCCTCCAACAGGGGGCCTCTACCTTTAAGTCACTTGACACATTTACAGAGAAACTGGGACTGGGGACGAGAACCCCTGATCACCAAGGACTAAGGGAAATGAGCATTGCCATCAGGGACACGGGCTTGCTCTAAAGGGGAATGTCAGGCACAGGGTCAGCTGCAATCGGAATACCCGCTGGAGGCCTGGCCCAGCGTCAGCTGGGCTGCTCGGGCCTGCCGAGCTAAGCCTAACTGCAGACAGGGGAGGACAACAGCCAGGGCTCTGCAGCAGTGAGGAAGTTTGCCCCTCCTCACCTCTGCTGTCCCCCTGTTTAAACTGAAGTTCTCAGAGCGGCCACAACCAGCCACCCAGGCTAAGCGTCATTGGTCATGGTCCTGATGTCACACATGGTGACGAATTTGTAGAACTCTAGGGTAAGTGCACACAGAGAGGGTAAGTCCTCTGGTGTTTCTGAACCAGCGTGGTTCTCTTCTAGAACAGGAGGATTTCGAGACACCAGAAATCACGTTTCTTAAATCACAACCTTCAGTCCCTGGATATGTCATCCGCACACACGTTTACCTCCGTAAGTGAGGTTGGGTTGAAGGAAAAGGGAATAAAAGGACCTAATAATAGAGACAGTACGTGACTGCCTCCGTTTGTTCTGTCTCTGCTTTTTCTGAAATCTATTCTCTAATTAAATATTGGCATCCTTCTCATTATTTTATTTCCAAATGGCCAGGAAGATGGCTATATTTAATTGGTTCTTACGCCAACCATGAATTTGTTGTGATGGGGCCTTGTGAAGCTTAGTCAGTACCAAGTTTTTGTCTGAATGTCAGTCTGGTCCCATTCTAGAAGAACTTGGATTTAATTTGGCATGAAGTCCTCGTTCAAGAATCTGTACCTCTGCAAACATTTCAGGCACTCTCATGAGCGGGGAGAAACACTTTTTATTCTCATGCATGCTTTGCAGGTTTAATGACAAGAGAACGATCGATCTTTGGAATAGTTTGAGGGGAAAAAATGTTTTCCAGGTCTTTCAAAGATTTTCCTTCTTAAAAAATAAAAACTTTGGGGCCTGCGGGTGGAACGGTGGTCAAGGGCATTGGACTCCCACTGTGCAAGTCCCAGACCTGATGGCTTGTTTTCTCCCTTTCCCTGTCTCTCTCTGTCTCAGGTCAAATGAAAAAATAACAATGATAAATGGAATTAAATAAATAAATCCATCTTTAAAAAATAAAAGCTTCTAACTAGTGGCCAAAAAAAAAGTGCTAAACCCAAGTCCTCACGGTCCTGTTCTAACAAGCAGCAATACATCACAGAGGGGCAGTCACAAAACCCAAGCCAGAAAACCTGGGTTCAAATTCAGCCACTCTGCTACAGACCAGCCACTGTGTGGCTAGATGAAGCCAGCTCCCTGGGCTCGGCATCTTCTGGTAGGAGGAGATACACTCACACCAGGGGTTCCCTACTCCCCAGCCAGGGACTGGTGCTGGTCCGTGGCCTGCTGCCCTGTCCCCCTCAGCTGGCTGCACAGTGAGGGTGGGCGCCAGCCAGCGAAGAGGCTTGCTCTGTGTTTGCAGCCTCTCCCCATCACTTGCACTGCTGCCTGGGCTCCGCCCCGTCGGTCAGCGGTGGGATAGCTGCTCAAGGGCCCTCAGACTCTATTCTTTGTTGCATGATTGTTTCATCGTATATTACAAAGTGCGAGTGGTAGAAATGGGTGCACAGTGGATGGGGTGTGCTTGGGGCACCCTGGAACCAACCCTTCACCCCAGTCTGTGGAAAGACTGTCTTCCATTAGGCTGGTTCCTGGTTCTGGGAAGGCTGGGATCCCTGCTCTACATCTCTTCAAACGTGGATGGTTTATGATCATTATCTAACTTTTTTTTTTTTTTTTTTTTAAATTTCAGTTGAGTGGGACTATTCAATTCAATGGAGGACTAGCAGGTGCTTATGGCTGTGGGGAATTTTGGCTGCGTAATTTAAGCATTCTTTTTCTTTCATCAACAGCAAAAACAAACAAAAAACGTGAACAGAAAGGTAGTTTCTAACACATAGTAGATCGTTGGAAGCGTTACTGAGTAAGTGAAGGAGTAAATGGAAAAAAAGAGAAACATCTGATAAATACGCACTTTTTATGGAAACAACACGGAGTGTAATTGTGCTAAAATATTACATCACAAATGCTATTTATCTTTAAAAACAAAGACCAACTACCAGATGCCAAAGAACAGATTGTATTCCCCATGTCTGCTGTATGCCTCAGATGGGACATCTTTGAGTTTGCACAACTGTTACTTTGATTCAGACTAATGCTTGCAAATGACAAGTGAAATGCTGAGACAGATCGAAGTAGACACCGCAATTTCTTTTTGTTGTGGTTGCTGGGTTTTTGTCAAGGGTGTGTGTACTCGTTGGAGAGAAACAGAGGGAAAGTGCGAAATTGCCCCCCAAAGGGGATGGTCACACCTCAGTCGCTTCTTTCCCATTTTCTTCTTGAGATTTTGGGCACACACACACACACGTGTACGTGCCTGGTGTGATTTTCAAACCGCAAGGTCCAGGACTTGACCCATCATCAGCCATGCAGCACCCGGCGTCCAAACCACCACAGTACCTGCTGGCCCCACAACAACAGCTTAGTCTTTGGCAGTTACTCTGCCTCAGAACGACATTGCTTTACTTACCAGGAAGGTTGTGCCATTTGTTCACGGCAAACAGCCTGTTCGCAGTGACTGTGATCACAGCAGGAGTCGCCAAGCCGGGCTGGGTGTTGGCTGCCACGTGAGTGACAGGGGAGTTGGAGGGAAACTTGAGGACCATGATCACGTCCTGCTGGGCTTGGTCTGTGAACATCAACGGACTCTGCAGGAGGAGATACTGTTGAGTGGGCATGACAAGACCCAAATGCACAAGGAACGAAGGATGAAGACAAGGAAGAGAGGGTGCAGGAAGAGAAGAGGAGAATCACGTTAATCCGAGTTGCAAGTGAACGCAAGGAAAGCAGAAGAGCTTGCGGGACAGCGATTATGACTGGCTTGACCTGTGTCATTAGCTGACATGTTTCGTGACCAAGGTAGATAGGACACTTGAACAGAAATACTTCCAAAACCTGTTATCTTTTATTCACTCCCTTCCAAAGCCTCCCCACCAACTTGAAAAACTAAAACAATCATTTGACTTCGATTTTTAAATAGGCACAATACTGAGGATCGTCTTAAACCATTGCAGTTGCTACCATGTGCCATTGAAGGATGTTAGAACACAGAATAAATTAATTAATTACAAATGAGAATAGGCATAAAAGCAAGCCAAGGGAATTTCTGAAGATCAAAAGTTGGGATGAGTTAGCACGGAGATTTTGGCAACTGAATCAAGAGATAATGAAAAGAAATACACTTATACGCAATAGTTAGGCAGCATGCATATATTACCACGATAAAGAATGTATGAACGTACTATACCAACTTAATTATAAAGGTGTTTGGAAGCAATGCATAATTAAATGTAGTTGTAAAAACAATATATTTATATAGTGCACCAAGTCATAAACACTGCCTATTGTCATGCAAATGCCACTATCTGCTGGAGCCAGGGAGAAAGAGGGATACCTCCATGCCCCTCCTTTTCCTTGGTTAAAACAAAACAAAACAAACAAACTAACTAACTAAACCTCGAGATTTTTTTTGATTTCTCCTTTGAAAAGCAGAAAGGAATTGAAAATGTTGAACGCGACACTGTCTGTTTTAATAACCTGCAAGAAAAGCGATAGGGAAGGCTATGAGCGATTTGGAACATGCCTATGTGACCCGAGACCCATACACCCCTCCTCCGATTCACTGGCTCTGTTGACAGTTCTGGTGGCTTGCACCGTCGGTGCCCTGTGTGTGTTTGCAGTGCTTTCCCGCCACGTCTGTTTCCTCATAGCTGATTAGTATCATTCAGAATCGAAACCCTTTGATGAAATGCCTCTGGCTGCTTCCCTACTGTCATATTTCAAAACACCAGGTATATGGAAATGTGTGGGCCCATAGATTTAACACATATTTATTCAGAAGTGCTAATAAAAAATTAAATACATTTGCATTTTTATTATCAGTCCTTTTAAAAAAGTTATTAAGAGTACTTAGAAAAACATATTGCAGTAAGAATTCCTATTTGCACTCTTTGCATAAAGGTGTAAATAAAGGCAACTAATAAGCTACCCAGACACCCTTCTGAGCAAGTGGCTAAAAGCCAATCAATATTATGAGTTAATCCTCCCTGGATGCTCATTCAATTAAAGGTGTCAGTAATGCCTCATCTGATGTGGCCTCAATTAAATCCAACTATCTGATGGTGTGAAAACACAGGGGGATACAGCAACAGCAGCAAAACCAAACTAATAGGCAGCCTTCGTGTGCCTGCTAATTACTACACCTGGTGTATATTATGGTGCGGGCACTTAACGCAGCACGAGGTGGCTTTCATTTCTGCCATGTTCTGA